GTATACAGCATACAGCTAACATAATACAACTGTATACAGCATACAGCTAACATAATACAACTGTATACAGCATACAGCTAACATAATACAACTGTATACAGCATACAGCTAACATAATACAACTGTATACAGGATACAGCTAACATAATACAACTGTATACAGCATACAGCTAACAGAATACAACTGTATAAAGTATACAGCTAACATAATACAACTGTATACAGCATACAGCTAACAGAATACAACTGTATACAGCATACAGCTAACAGAATACAACTGTATACAGCACACAGCTAACATAATACAACAGTATACAGCATGCAACTGTATACAACATACAACCGTATAAAGTATACAGCTAACAGCATACAACTGTTTACAGCACATAGCTAACATAATACAATATTGTATACAATATTGTATACAACATAAAACTGTATACATTATACAGCTAACAGCATACAACTGTATACAGCACACAGTTAACAGCATACAACTGTATACAGCATACAACGAACAACGAACAGCATACAACTGTATACAGCACATAGCTTACAGCATACAACTGTAAACAACACATAGCTTACAGCATATAACTGTATGCAGCACATAGCTTACAGCATACAACTGTATACAAAATACTACTGTATACAGCCCACAGCTTACAGCATACAACTGTATACAGCACACAGCTTACAGCATATAATTGTATACAGCATAAGCTAACAGCATACAACTGTATACAGCATACAGCTAACAGCATATAATTGTATACATCATACTACTGTATACAACATACAACTAACAGCATACAGCGAACAGCATACAAATGTATACAGCATACAACTGTATACATAACACAGTTAACAGCAAACAACTACTGTTGTACTACTGTATACAAAATACAACTAACAGCATACAGCTAACTGCATACAACTGTATACAGCATACAAATGTATACAGCACACAGCTGACAGCATACAGCTGTATATAGCATGCAGCTAACAGCATATAACTGTATAGAGCATACAACTATATACAGCACACAGCTAACAACATACATCTGTATACAGCATACAACTGTATACAACATACAGCTAACAGCATACAGCTAACAGCATACAACTGTATACAACACACAGCTAACAGCATACAACTATATACAAGTTACAGCTAACAGCATACAACTGTATACATCATACAGCTAACAGAATACAACTGTATACAGCATACAGCTAACATAATACAACTGTATACAGCATACAGCTAACAGAATACAACTGTATACAGCATACAGCTAACATAATACAACTGTATACAGCATACAGCTAACATAATACAACTGTATACAGCATACAGCTAACATAATACAACTGTATACAGCATACAGCTAACATAATACAACTGTATACAGCACACAGCTAACAGAATACAACTGTATACAGCATACAGCTAACATAATACAACTGTATACAGCATACAGCTAACATAATACAACTGTATACAGCATACAGCTAACATAATACAAATGTATACAGCACACAGATAACAGAATACAACTGTATACAGCATACAGCTAACATAATACAACTGTATACAGCATACAGCTAACAGCATATAATTGTATACAGCATACAGCTAACAGCATACAACTGTATACAGCACACATCTAACAGCATACAACTGTATACATCATACTACTGTATACAACATACAACTAACAGCATACAGCGAACAGCATACAAATGTATACAGCATAAACTGTATACAGAACACAGTTAACAGCAAACAACTGTATACAGCATACTACTGTATACAAAATACAACTAACAGCATACAGCTAACTGCATACAACTGTATACAGCATACAAATGTATACAGCACACAGCTAACAGCATACAGCTGTATATAGCATGCAGCTAACAGCATATAACTGTATAGAGCATACAACTGTATACAGTGCACAGCTAACAACATACATCTGTATACAGCATACAACTGTATACAACATACAGCTAACAGCATACAGCTAACAGCATACAACTGTATACAACATACAGCTAACAGCATAAAACTGGATACAACACACAGCTAACAGCACACAACTGTTTACAACATACGACTGTATACAGCCCACAGCTTACAGCATACAACTATACACAACTTACAGCTAACAGCATACAACTAACAGCATACAACTGTATACATCATACAACTGCATTCAACATACAGCTAACAGCATACAGCTAACAGCATACAACTGTATACAGCACACAGCTAACAGCATACAACTGTATACAGCACACAGCTAACAGCATACAACTGTATACAGCATACAGCTAACAGAATACAACTGTATACAGCACCTAGCTAACAACACGCAGTCGTATACAGCATTATCCAGGAACTTGTTATTTGACTGGTTTTTAAAATTTTGTTTCCCCACATTATTGCTTCCTATTTCCATACACTAATGTCTCTTTTTATACCACAATAATGCCTCCCCCCCCCACCCACCCCTCCCCAATTACATTGATACCTCTTGCCTTTGCTCTGAGCGTGGAGTATCGTCACACCTCGCTGCATCAATCTCTCAAAACTGTCAAGATGAAGAACTTTACCCACCGTGTGTGCACGTGCGTGCAAACGTGCATGCGTCTGTGTTTGTATTTGTGTGTGCATGTGCATGTGTGTGTGTGTGTGTGTGGGTGTGTGTGTGTGTGTGTGTGGTGATAACGTTCGACTTATTCAACTTGTATGTGACAATATTCAGCTTCATCTACGAAGTCTGTGAGACAATGTAGAACTGAATCCGTCGCGTATGTTTAATACAGTTCCAACATATTCTACTGTCCGTGACAATAAGACATTTCTCATCAGCTTATTACTTCAGATACAAAACCCGACTAAATCTATGGTAAAAGTCATTAGCTCAGTGAGGGAATTTAAGCCACTTTCATTTTCAATAAATGTATTTCTAAACATGCTTATTTTGTTGTTGCAAAAACGTACACAATTTGACACAAGTGTTTGAGACTCCGTATCCGCTAAATTTACTTAACTAGCTCATATACTTCGACTTAAGCTAAGCAACTGAATGGATAAATCTAACTACACATCTTGCTGTTTGCTGTAGATTTTCGCGCTTAGTTTCAGTGAGTTTCGATATTTCGTTCCACCTGACTACTTTCTTTGCTTCATGGCAGCCTTTATCTTGCTTGTTTGTGTACCTTTCGCTTTTCTGTGGAACTCGTATTTGAGTTTCTGACTTCTCTTGTTTCATCACAGTAATGATGCCACACCCCCCCCCCTCCCTCTCCCATAATAATGCTTCTTTTTCCCCTACAGTAATACTTATTCCCCATCTCTCCCCAATAATAATGCTTCTTATTCCCGTACAGTAATACTTATTCCCCTTTCCTCCCCCATAATAATGCTTCTTATTCCCCTACAGTAATATCTATTCCCCACACACATAAAAATGCCTGTTGTTGTCCCACAATAATACCTCTTTTTCCACTGCAAAATTGCCCCATATATTTTCACAATATTGCCTCTTTTCTCTCCCTAAGTAATCCCCCCCCCCCACCCCCTGTCCACAGTAATGCTTCTTTTCCAACTAAATAACTTCCCTCCACACTAATGTCTCCCTTCCTCTCCACAGTAATGCTTTCCCCTTTCCCCAATAATGCTCCTCGCCCGCCCCCCCCCCCCCACACCCCCTTTTTTCCACAACACACCCCATCTCCACTCAACCCCTAAAAAACCAAAATGCCTCTCAAATTATGACAAAGTATGCAAGCATGTGTACATATTAAAATGAAATGACAAACAGCGTTCATATTTATTGTTATTTAGATGTAAGTATATATTTCCCTATTACAAAACAATTCATGAAAAGAAAAGATAACATGAAACCTAAACGGCCTGCAAAAACTGTAAGTGTTAGGGAATCGCCAAACTTTTTATGGAATCGCCAGACTTGTTTATGGAATCGCCAAACTTATTATGGAATCGCCAAACTTATTATGGAATCGCCAAACTTATTATGGAATCGCCAAACTTATTATGGAATCGCCAAACTTATTATGGAATCGCCAAACTTTTTATGGAATCGCCAAACTTATTATGAAATCGCCAAACTTATTATGGAATCGCCAAACTTATTATGGAATCGCCAAACTTATTATGAAATCGCCAAACTTATTATGGAATCGCCAAACTTATTATGGAATCGCCAAACTTATTATGGAATCGCCACACTTTTTATGGAATCGCCAAACTTATTATGGAATCGCCAAGCTTATTATGGAATCGTCTAACTTATTATGGAATCGCCAAACTTATTATGGAAACGCCAAACTTATTATGGAATCGTAAAACTTTTTATGGAATCGCCAAACTTTTTTTATGGGATCGACAAACTTGTTTTTGGAATCGCCAAACTTTTTATGGGATCGCCAAACTTTTTATGGAATCGCCAAACTTTTTATGGAATCGACAAACTTGTTTTTGGAATCGCCAAACTTTTTATGGGATCGCCAAACTTTTTATGGAATCGCCAAACTTTTTATGGAATCGCCAAACTTATTATGGAATCGCCAAACTTTTTATGGAATCGCCAAACTTATTATGGAATCGCCAAACTGTTTGGGTTTTACAAGACAAAAATAGGTTATACGCATGCTTGTATTTACATACAAATCAAGCATCGCAAAGTTTATTGCTTAATTTGTTCAAACAACAAATCCGAATTTGATCATCCTGATGCTAAAAAGTCTGCAATACAACAAACTAACAAAAAACAAAAAACAAAAACTTTCTGTGATAGGGTTCAGCCAGTCTGTCCTATAATAGATTCTTTCTGTGCTTCTGAATGTTGAAAGACCAGTTATAAATGTGACAGGGGTCTTTTGTGTGGGGTCCAGGAGCTTCTACTAACGGGATCTTTTCAGAGTGGGTTTCTGTCCGACGCTGAACGTGTGGACACACTGACATCTCATGATGACATGGAGGCTCCCTGTTGGAAGAGATTAGTCGACAAATGCTTAGTACACCACACATATGTTACAGTTGTTAAACACAGTATTGTCTCTTAACCAACAAGATTGATAGAAAGAAAGCAGTAGGAAGGCAAAGAGATAAATATCTGGATGGCCTGGCAAGATGAGTGAGGCGAGACAAAAATAATTGAACTTCTTCTTCTTCTCAGCGTTCACTAGCTGTGGACTCCGGCGGAAAGTTGTGGTTGTTCATCCACCTCTGGACTTAAGACTTCTTCAAGAGCCTGAGTGTTGCGTGCACATCACTTTTGCAAATCTGACTCATTTGTATGCAGACTTTTGGTTCCTTGCCTTTCAGGCAGTTGTACCCCGACTTCGGGAAGAAAAAAAAACCAATTAGTCGCCTCTTACGACATGCTTGTTAGGGAGGCAGTGGGTCTTTTTGGCCCCCCACCCCCACCTCACAATGGGGCCCCGTAACCCACACGGGGTGACCTCAGCAGGTTTAAAGAGGGAGGAGGGAGGGATATTAAACAGCTTGTTGAACAGGCATCTGCCCAGCCAGAATCTTCAAATAAGAGAAGTTAACTTGCTGATGAGACGGAGGTGGCCATTTTACTGAAATTCACTTGTGGTGAGACTATGTCATGTACGGAGATACCAGTGTGCGCCGACAATAGTCGTTAATAAGCAGACAAACAGAAAACGGTGATGATTAGTTGGTACAAACATAAAGTGCCAACATAAAGTGCAGCCAGGAACCATAGGAAATAAAAGACATCTATGAGTCGAACTGACGTAGTGACCAAAAGCCTGTCTATCAAACCTGTGCTTTTCGACTCAGAAATGCACCCAGGAGCACTGAATTGGGCTCTCAGACTGCGCTAACCGGAAATAGGAACTTGGATACTTCTGGGAAGTTGAGCTGTTAGCAGGATATTGTGCTTATCTTCAGTTCAATGTCGAATAGTGTATAACAGTCCAGAACTAGAACTATAGAAGTTACAAGTTCACAATTATCATGATAATGCATGGCTAGAAATTGAATACTGAAATAAGCATGGAATAAAAAATGCGAACATTATTGACTGTTAGAAAGAGACAAACATCATCATCCTTTTGTGTAACTCATCCTTTTGTGTACCTCACCTGTTTGTGTACCTTATCTTTTTGTGTACCTTATCCTTTTGTGTACCTCACCCTTTTGTGTACCACATCCTTTTGTGTTCCTTATCTTTTTGTGTACCTCATTCTTTTGTGTACCACATTCTTTTGTGTACCTTATCATTTTGTGTACCTCATTCTTTTGTGTACCACATCCTTTTGTTTACCTCATCCTTTTGTGTACCTTTACACGTTACATAGAACTCCCTTTTGATTCCTCAAGTCTGCTGAATTGCGTGCAACTTTTTCGATTTCTGACATGGAGTTCCGAACTTCATTTTTTCTTTTGCCATTCGTGATAATGTTCTTCCTAATTGTTTTCAATAAAAGTCCTCCTTTACTCAGACCTGTTTTTTTCCATTTTAATGTCGGTTTTGTAATTCTGTGCTCATTTCGTCTCAGCATGTGCCCGGTATATTTCCACTTTCTTTGTCTTGTTGCAGTCAATAAAGGTATTTGTCAAGGCGTTTATTTGATCTCCTCATTCTTTTTTAATTCTTCCCATTTTATGTTCATGATTTTTTTCTCATTCATTCATTTTCAAATGAATGAAACTTTCGCTACACATATTTGGCAGTTCTCCAACATTCGCTGGTATATATTAGAACTGTAAACATTTTAGAACTAAAGATTCGTAGTTTGGTCTCAAAGCTGTATAACTTGGAGCTCCCTATTTTGTTAGGGCTTTCAAAGACTGTTGTTGCTTTGTCTATGCGTATCATAATTTCCATCGCTGTATCTTCTCGAGCCAAAATTGTTACTAAAATAGGTGAAATGGTCGGTTAATTTTATTGATTTCTTCTCTAGCGTGATAACTACATGATCTGTTGTTGATATCATTTGGTTTCTCATAACTTATTGGTAGTACTTTTTTATGCTTTAGACGACATTTTTTCTTTCTGTGCATGTGTTTGTTATTAATAGCAGAACAAATCATCTGTGAAATGCAGATCACCCAGTTGTCTCTACTCAGTCGATGCCAGTATTACCTTCGCAACATTTTTCATCAACATCATCTATTGCAGCCGGCGTTCATCGTGGAGAGGGCACCTGATTGATTTATTGATTGAGTGACTGATTGATTAATTGATTGATTGAACAAGCATAAATATGCTGTTTCAACCTATAATTTGTGAGCGAGTCACAGTTCGTTTGTTTATGGCCATGAGTTTCATTCCACCTTAGAAAGATAAATGTAATGTGTATCCTTTGCCTTGGCCTGTGCTATACTCCTGGTCTTCTGAGTGACAGGATGGTAATCCAGCTGCTCAACCATCGCCTCACTCTCCAAAATAAACAACAATAGGAAATGCGTCGTTCCTTTTGATGTCTGAGTAATCTTTCATTGAACAAAACATTCAGTAAAAATATAGATACGCTAAACTGTGTCTTTATGTCCCGACTAATCATCTTTGTCACAGGAGATGGAAAGTACATGAGAGAGAAGGCCATGGAGAAGCATGACTACCAACGCCATTCATCATGGGCTTTAAGAAGAGGATATTGACCAATGTAAACCTCAAATGATCACTAGTCTAATGACGTGGATCGCTCGCCAGAACCTCTGTGAAATATCCTGAGATATACTTCCAAGAGTAAAAAAAAAAAAAAAAAATGCCCAAAAAGGATTATAAAAGATCGAGAAACAGAAGCAGAAGAAGAACTTATTCTTCAACATAAAGTCGACACTCACCTGCTTCACGACGTGCGTTGATCGTTTGTCAACGTGTCTGTCAGCTTCTGCTGCAGCTTCCATGTCATCTACATCGTCATAAATGACATTGTCGTCTTCGCTTCTTTTGCCTATGCCTCCAGCAAAGCCGTATCTGTCTATTCTCCTCTTCCCAATACCTCCTGCAAAACCGAATCTGTCTATTCTTCTCTTACCTATTCCTCCTGCAAAACCGAATCTGTCTATCCTTCTCTTTCCGATCCCTCCTGCAAAACCATATGAATCAATCCGTCTCTTTCCGATCCCTCCGGCAAACCCAAATTTGTCTATACGTCGTTTCCCCAGTTGTCCAGTGAACCCGAAACGGTCGAGTCTCCGTTTGCCAATTCCACCTGTGAAGCCAATCTTGTCGAGTCTTCTCTTCCCGATTCCTCCAGAAAATCCAAATTTGTCTATTCTTCGTTTCCCTAAATGCCCTGCAAAACTGAACGGGTCTAGCTGGCGTTTACCCAGACCTCCAGCGAAAGAATATCTATCTACGCGTCGTTTTCCGATACCGCCGTAAAATCCATACCGATCTATCCTCCGCTTCTCAACGCCCTCGGTAGTTTCGGAGTCCTGATCTTCAGGTGCCAACAAGGCTACACTGTCTATTTCCACTGGTTCATTGATGTCACTAATAGCATCTGTGCTGTCAGCTGCATCTGTCACATCTCTGGCATCGGTTTGAGTACATGCGATCACAAGTGCCAACAGAAGCAGCTGCCGAGGTATGGTCTTGGCTAACATCGTTGATTGCTCGAAACACCTGCAACTAGAACACAGAAAAAACAACCATATTAGGAGTGAATGCAAGGGGAAGATTGTAATAGAAAAACTCAACTTAAAACAGGAAAGATACGAATATGTTTACCACCAGATGACCGTAAAGTGAGTATGCTAAGGTTGCCATCATCTTGAAGTGATGGTTCGATTTCTTTTGTGATAACTATAGCTTCTGATTAGTTTGTTGTGTTTTTCTGTCTCTACAATCAGTTACCCTAACATAAGGTTGCAATCAGCCACAACAGACTGTATTTCTCAAGGGCTCCAATATGGCATGCAGGACCGTCCTTTTCCGTATTTCTTGTTGTTCAAATACTGGCCCACTAAGAAATTTCTGATTGATGCTAACTTCAACAATAGAGGGAGTCTCACGGTGGCCCACTGACTAACAGTGTGCAGGTGCTGGTGTATTCGAGTTCCTGCAGATGATAACTTGTCAATGACATAGAATCCCACTTTGACCCAGCCTTAAAGGATAGTCAAGACGCAATAATACCAGCATATGTTGTAGGAGGTGTGTGCGACGAGTTGTTGACGAAGTGACAGTATGTGTGGGCGAGGAGTTGTTGACGAAGTGACAGTAAGTGTGTGTGACGAGTTGTTGACGAAGTGACATTAAGTGTGTGCGACAAGTTGTTGACGAAGTGACAGTAAGTGTGGGTGACGAGTTGTTGACGAAGTGAGAATAAATGTGTGCGACGAGTTGTTGACGAAGTGACAGTAAGTGTGGGTGACGAGTTGTTGACGAAGTGACAATAAGTGTGGGTGACGAGTTGTTGACGAAGTGACAATAAGTGTGTGCGACGAGTTGTTGACGAAGTGACAGTAAGTGTGTGCGACGAGTTTTTGACGAAGTGACAATAAGTGTGGGTGACGAGTTGTTGACGAAGTGACAATAAGTGTGGGTGACGAGTTGTTGACGAAGTGACAATAAGTGTGGGCGACGAGTTGTTGACGAAGTGACAGTAAGTGTGGGTGACGAGTTGTTGACGAAGTGACAATAAGTGTGGGTGACGAGTTGTTGACGAAGTGACAATAAGTGTGGGTGACGAGTTGTTGACGAAGTGACAGTAAGTGTGGGTGACGAGTTGTTGACGAAGTGACAATAAGTGTGGGTGACGAGTTGTTGACGAAGTGACAATAAGTGTGGGTGACGAGTTGTTGACGAAGTGACAATAAGTGTGGGTGACGAGTTGTTGACGAAGTGACAATAAGTGTGTGCGACGAGTTGTTGACGAAGTGACAGTAAGTGTGTGCGACGAGTTGTTGACGAAGTGACAGTAAGTGTGGGTGACGAGTTGTTGACGAAGTGACAATAAGTGTGGGTGACGAGTTGTTGACGAAGTGACAATAAGTGTGGGTGACGAGTTGTTGACGAAGTGACAGTAAGTTGAAGGACACAATTCTTCAGGCCTATTGGGCATACGGGGCCAGACCTTTATTTCATAGACCAATCAGCACTAGGTGGGTGATATGGTCAGTATCAGGACGACCGCCTTAGCCTCCCAGACGTTTTTACCTTGTACCTGTTTAAGGCTGGGTCGCCCTGGAAGAAACAGTCATGTTCAAAACAAAGTCAGCCTCTGTCAGGACGTGAACCCACGACTTCTGACCTAGCCGCTACACCACGGAGGCTTCCTGAGCGAAAGTAGATTTTAAATATCATAGTATCATATTCCTACTCAACCGTCAATAAGATACTTTAAAAAAAAAAAAAAACATGTAACAATAATTATGAGAGTTAATACAAAGTAATTGGATTGATCTCGTGACCTATCGGGGCTGTAACGAGAATAATTCTCCCAACAATGTATGAACCCCGGACGTGCACACAGAGAGTTCATTCCTGTATTGACACACCCAGCCTTGCCCCATGTTTGTCTTGATATACCCGGGGAGCCCATTTGCTTGTCGCAAGGACTGTGTTAGAGTGCACGCCACGTGTGACGGTTGAGCTAATTCATACATGAGGGATGCAGTAGAGTGATGGCCCCCGAGCGCTCACCACATGTGTGAATTGTTCTAATCTATGTATGCGCGTTAGCCGTGAATGTTGTAGTGTTCTACCTGACAACCAACAGACAAATGATTGTAAAATACCAGGTGAAAGCCACATTTGATATTTAATTGAAATTGACAACAATATGACACCAGATGATCACAATATCAAGTGATGCTAATGAATCACCATGCGAGTCACAAGAAAGAGCATGGAAACCGTACAACAGACATATCGCGACCCAGGAGTGGAGGTCAGGTAGAGCAAGCCAAAGACGAAATCTCCAGTTTGGTAAGCACTGTTTAGAGGTTTACATTATATGTGTACACAGTATGTCGCAGGCGTGCCGTTCGGAGGAACAACATGGCCCGGGTAGGGATGGGGGGGGGGGGGGCGCAGGGGCTTTGCCACTTGTTAATTTACTGGTTCCTAGGGACTTATAGGGCATACGCCTGATTTAACTTCGCAATAATAACAATGCATTGTTACTGAATGCTACTGAATGTTACATAAAGTATAAATATATATAAAATACAAAAAATGTCTGCCTGTGGTTTATTTGTACTTCTTTATTTTTACACTGATAACCCACCGTATCTCTCCAAGCGAGATATGTGTGCGTGCGTGCGCGCGTGTGTGTGTGTGTATGTGTGTGAAATGTATGAACACAGACTTAAAAAGAGGTAATCTATAAATGGTGGAAGGGATGCTCACACCCCCTCCCCCACTCCAACCAATTGGGGGCGGGGCGGGTGTGGTTAAAAAAAAAAAAATCTATATTCTTTGGTCATGTGATGAGAAGGAGAAAACTGGAGTACATCGTGACCGTAGGAAAGTTGGAGGGGAAGAGAAACAAACGTTGACAGAGAAAGCAGAGATGCTAGACGGTTTGACATCATGGCACGAAGCTTCATCTGTGTCAAAGTTCACTGAAAATACTAGAGACAGAAGGTTGTGGATAGATATGACTACCATCGTTACACGGCCGCTACTTTGAGAGAGAAAAAAACAAGGATTCAGTTCAAAACGACTGACACCCCCCCCCCCCCCAGGTTCCCCTTCAAATAGAAATGTATATGAATGCCACCACGTCATCATAGACATTTCAAAATCCCCAATAACGTCCCCTACAGAATGAGATATGTGACCCGTCCAGATTCCGCCAATAAGGATAGATCGTCCTACACAGAAATGTATAAGAATTGCCACAACGTCACATAGACCTGTATCAGAATCCCCAATATCGTCAGATAGACATGTATTAGAATCACCAAAAACGTCACATAGACATGTATCTGAATCACCAATAACGTCACATAGACATGTATCTGAATCACCAATAACGTCAGATAGACATGTATCAGAATCACCAATAACGTCAGATAGACATGTATTAGAATCACCAAAAACGTCACATAGACATGTATCAGAATCACCAATAACGTCAGATAGACATGTATCTGAATCACCAATAACGTCAGATAGACATGTATCAGAATCACCAATAACGTCAGATAGACATGTATCTGAATCACCAATAACGTCAGATAGACATGTATTAGAATCACCAAAAACGTCACATAGACATGTATCTGAATCACCAATAACGTCAGATAGACATGTATCTGAGTCACCAATAACGTCACATAGACATGTATCAGAATCCCCAATATCGTCAGATAGACATGTATCTGAATCACCAATATCGTCAGATAGACATGTATCTGAATCACCAATAACGTCAGATAGACATGTATCTGAATCACCAATAACGTCAGATAGACATGTATCTGAATCACCAATAACTTCACATAGACATGTATCTGAATCACCAAT